AATGAACATAATCGGCATTCGGAGCATGCTCTTTTATTAGGGCTTGTAATCCTCCATAAACACCCCACATAACATTTGCTCCATCGTAACCCTGTCCTCTACATTTAGTCAAATCAATTCCATATTCTTTAATCGTATTTAAAATTTCAGTTTTAAGTCCTTCAGCTCTGCAATCGGATACTGCTGTAAACCCCAAAAAGGACTCACAGATTTTTAATTCTTTAGGCACATTATCATCATTTTCTGTAATCGAGATGTATCGAAAAACTATAGAAAGTTGGTCAATTTTTGACAAGTCTTGTGTTGTATCTAGAATTATTGTCAGAAATGGAGCTTTTTTAATTTCTGAGATAATATTGTTCCTAACTGCGGTACCAAGCAAATTAATAATTTAATTTTGAATCGTCGGGCTTAAATAATTTATTTTGCCTTTTGGTTTTAGAAGAAGTTCTTTTAAAGTTACATCATAATTAGATAGCAAACGTAAAATTGCCATAAAATTTCCAGAATTAGAATCATGGCCTCTTAAAGGTAGATTGCAAGATACATTAATTATACGATGCAATACATCTCTCCAGAAAGTAATTTTACTATTGATTTCACTTTGCAATAGAGTATCGATGGTATTTCCTTGTAACCAATTATTATAAGATAGGGTTGCATTAATATGCTGCTGTGACTTTTTATGGTCAAGTATAGTTTGCGTAAAATTGCTTCTAATGGAAACACCGTTAACCCATGCAGAGGAGTATGATTTGCTTTGACGATCTGCTAATAACCAACAGAAGTGGCAATACGGTTTGTTTAAAACATTAAAATAACATATCCATGATCTTGGAATTTTTATGCCTGCCTTATTGATATATGAATAATAATAGGCCGAAAAAGATCGGTTACTTTCTGAATCTTTTGGAAACGGTCCTTGTGGTTTAAATGGACCCAATTTAAAAATTATTTTTCTTTCGCATTCAGTTGGACTGTCACCAAAATTTCCTCTATCTGATGAAACTATATTACAATCTTCAGATATCTCAGAATCGTCGATTTGAGTTTCTTCTATTTCCGGATGGACATCCGATGGAGAATGTGCTTGGGTTTCTTCTATTTCCGGATCGACATCTGATGAAGAATGTGCTTCAGAAGAATCTGAAAATATAGATGTTAAAAAATAAAATTGAATGTTTTGATAAATTTCAAAAATATATGTTAAATAAATTACGTAAGGTTACGGTTAGAGTGTTCAGACGTATGCAGGCTCTACGCGGGTTGTGCGCGTGTTAATACAAAATCACCTGCGCACAGCCCATGCGTTACACCCGCGTGCGATCCGAACGTGGCGTGTGGCCATACCATACAAACAGAACCCGAGCTCGCGTACGTCTGAACACGTAATTTACGATACGAACTGATAGACAAACAGACAACAAATTGATCCTATAAGTAAGTAAGAGTTCCGTTTTTTTTTTCGTTTTGAGGTACGGATCCCTAAAATAACAAAATTCACTCTTCGCTACATGTAGATAAGATAAATGGGTTGGGTAGTACTTACCTTTGCAATATAAATCACTCACAAGAGCTGGTGTCTGAAAAAATGAAGAAATTTTGGGCATTTTTTTTATAACCTCCTCCCTTTCCTGTTTATTTTTTCTTTTCGTAGCTCCGCTGGGATAATCTCTTTTCCTTCCACTCATTGTTTTTTACAAATCGTTACTAATACTACGAAACCAGAAGAACAATTGTTTGTATTGTATTACAATGTAATGCACAATTAAATAAAACGCATCAATAAACACTGTTCTCCATGGTTTATCATCGTATTGTATGTACATCGATTATTGTGGGATTCCCCCGTTGAAGTAAATGACTTAAACGGGGAAATCCCGTAGCCCGCGATAACTGATGTAGGGTGTTGCCAACTTTTGAACGCACGCTTTACGCGAGAAAAAAAATCGCTTTTTGTGACTTTGGTCATTTCTGAAAAAAAAAAAAATTTGGGTGAAAAGTTTTTAATAATTTTTGCTTATGCACGTTGGGGGCCCCCGTGGCGCGGAGGGCCCGTATAATTGTTACGGCAGATACGGTGGTAGCTACGCCCCTGCTTTGATTACTATACGGGGCAAGAGAGAGGTCCGACACGCCCAACATAGGGCGCGACCATTTTGACTCCTATGACACAGTTTATAGCTAAAAAATCAGATCGCTCACTCTGCGTCGGCACTTTTGATGTCAATGTTCCAGTTTATACACTTCGCAACTCGGATAATACAATATATGACAACCGCTTATAATAAAACAGCAGTCTTCTGCGTATCCTGAATTTGTATCCCTGGAGTGGATGTGAGCCACATACTTTGATTTTCTTTTACTATACGGAGAATGGTCGCACTGCGCAGCTTTCTGAGTACCTTTTAAAAGGAGATAGAAAACTCCGCCATTTTGAACCCTTACTACGTGTTGCCTACATCTTGGCGCAATATTTTTAATAGGTGCGTTTTAATCATCCGCTTCTGCTTCGGAATTGTCGGTTTTCTTGTTTTAATCTGACAGGTTAGAACGACTGAACCGAAAATTCCAGAAGCAGAAGCGGATGATTAAAACGCACCTGATATTTTGCTTGCTGCTGTCAGTGTCAGTGATTATTATTTTTGGAGTCACAGTTAATTGCTAAACAATCAGTTAGCTCACTCGGACCAGTTGAAAGTTCCAAAATAACATCCACTCCAGGGATACAAATTCAGGATACGCAGAAGACTGCTGTTTTATTATAGGCGATTGTCATATATTGTATTATCTGAGTTATGCAGTGTATAAACTGGAACATTGAGATAAAAAGTGCCGACGCAGAGTGAGCGATCTGATTCTTTAGCTCTAAACTGTGTCATAGGGTTCAAAATGGCCGCGCCCTATGTTGGGCGTGTCGGACCTCTCTCTTGCCCTGTATAGTAATCAAAGTGAGCTAACTGATTCTTTAGCAATAAACTGTGATTCCAAAAATAATATTCACTGACACTGACAGCAGCAAGCAAAATATCAGGTGCGTTTTAATCATCCGCTTCTGCTTCCGGAATTGTCGGTTTAGTCGTTTTAACCTGTCAGATTAAAACAAGAAAACCGACAATTCCGAAGCAGAAGCGGATTATTAAAACGCACCTATTAAAAATATTGCGCCAAGATGTAGGCAACACGTAATAAGGGTTCAAAATGTCGGAGTTTTCTATCTCCTTTTAAAAGGCACTCAGAAAGCTGCGCAGTGCGACCATTCTCCGTATAGTAAAAGAAAATCAAAGTATGTGGTTTTGGTACTATTGGACTATTTCTGTGTATATTGACAAATACAATTTTTACTAGAAGAGGTCCGACACGTTCAAGATAGGGCGCAGCCATTTTGATTCCTATGACACAGTTTATAGCTAAAGAATCAGATCGCTCACTCTGCGTCGGCACTTTTGATCTCAATTTTCCAGTTTATACACTGCGCAACTCGGATAATACAATATATGACAACCGCCTATAATAAAACAGCGGTCTTCTGCGTATCCTGATTTTGTATCCCTGAAGTGGATGTTATTTTGGAACTTTCAACTGGTCCGAGTGAGCTAACTGATTCTTTAGCAATAAACTGTGACTCCAAAAATAATATTCACTGACACTGACAGCAGCAAGCAAAATATCAGGTGCGTTTTAATCATCCGCTTCTGCTTTCGGAATTGTCGGTTTAGTCGTTTTAACCTGTCAGATTAAAACAGGAAAACCGACAATTCCTAAGCAGAAGCGGATGATTAAAACGCACCTATTAATAATATTGCGCCAAGATGTAGGCAACACGTAATAAGGGTTTAAAATGGCGGAGTTTTCTATATCCTTTTAAAAGGCACTCAGAAAGCTGCGCAGTGCGACCATTCTCCGTATAGTGAAAGAAAATCAAAGTATGTGTTGTCAGTGAATATTATTTTTGAAGTCACAGTTTATTGCTAAAGAATCAGTTAGCTTACTCGGACCAGTTGAAAGTTCCAAAATAACATCCACTCCAGGGATACAAATTCAGGATACGCAGAAGACTGCTGTTTTATTATAGGCGGTTGTCATATATTGTATTATCCGAGTTCAACATTGTATAAACTGAAACATTGAGATCAAAAGTGCCGACGTAGAGTTAGCGATCTGATTCTTTAGCTGTAAACTGTGTCACAGGGTTCAAAATGGCCGCGCCCTATGTTGGGCGTGTCGGACCTCTCTCTTGCCTCGTATAGTAATCAAAGTATGTGATGTGACCTCAATGGACTAGGACAATTTTCTGTTGTAGAGTAGAGATTTGTCAATCGTGAATGATTCTGTCACTAAGATCCAATCACCTAGATTCTTCTCACAGCACAGATACATGAACGAACGAAATATGTTGATTGAACTGTGAGTTGCTGGAAGGATGGAATAATTGAATAAAATGGTAGATTGTGGAAATTAAATGGGTAAAGCAGTGTTTACGTTAGCGCGCGTTTTAAAATAAAATAAATTATTGACAGAACGTTAGATTGAATCGATTAATTAAAACTGGCAATATTATTACTGACACACGAAAACGACCCACACAAATAATAAAATATGATGAATTATATTCTATCATTCATTCTAAAAATGTAACGAAAATACGTAACCGTATGACCAATTGTTCAACCAATCGAATTATTCGACCAACGGCTATCGGCGGCACTATTTACTTATACGGCAGTCTTAAACAGATTACATATCAAAAATTGGAACGATTGAACAATCGATTGAAAGGATTCTGTCATTTTAGAAATCAATCATCGATTGATTCGATCGCCGGGAAGTGATTGAATTACCTATCACTATTCTAGAGCCTTCGTTAATGACCTGGTTGACAAGTACATGAATTGTATCTATTCAAAATTAAATTATGGCAATGTCACTGACAACTCTAAAACTACCACGCAGTAACTTATAAAATATGGGATTTAAAAAATATAATTATTTATTTTCAGATTTATAGACACAGATCTTACGAACCATCATTTCCTTAACTGCAGTCTCATTAACAACACTTTCTTATCTCTTATTTCTGACTGCATTATCGACTTCGACTATAATATCTACCTTGAAGATCTTTACGAAGAAACTCTGTCTTGGTCCGGATTTATGTTTTCATCTTTATTATTCATTGGGTTTATACTGGAAACAGCATCCAGACCTCCTGTTATTATAGCAACATTCATATTAGCGGGAGTATCTGCTGGAGGAATATTTTTGTCGTCTGCTTCTGTGTTTATTGCTTCGACAGTTGACCTATTAATGAAGATTTTTCTCATGTGTGCCGTCAACGCATTGACTATGGTAGTCGTTGAGGGATATCCTTGTCATTTAAGGTAAGTAATTTAAATAAATATAATTGATAAGGAAACCTTTGATTTTAAAGTATCTAATCTCAATTGAAGATAGGCATGTTAAATTTTATTAATATTGTTACTTTATAAAAGGAGACCTCCTTTTCTAAAGTTTTTTTTTTCTTACACCTTTATTTATATTTTTCTTGTAGTTCTTGGGGTTCAGGTGTTTGTTGAGGAAATGAAACTCGTGTTAAAGTAAAGTAAAGCTTTCAGCCCTGCTCAGGGCCTTCTTCAGTAGTTTTTTTTTAATTTAAAAAATTTTTTTTTTGTGTTTTTATATATATATATATATATATATATATATATATATATATATATATATATTGTTTTTAGTTTGTTTTTTGGCTTACCTTTAGTACATTTTATGGGGTGTGTAATTAATTTTTTTACTACTAACATGAGAAATCACCATTATTTGCTCCATTCCTCTAATGAGAAGTAATATTTCTCATCCTAGGTAAATAATGATAATAAAAAAAAAACCTAGGTAAATAATGAAACTAAATTTCATTAGTTTTATTTTGTTAATTTGACAACTAAACTCCCAGACTACTTGATATTTTGAAATATTTAAAAAATAAGTAGGAAATAACTAAAGCTGGGTTTATCAAATCTAATCAAATCAAATATGATAATATATATCAGTGTTAATAGTAAAAATATATATTAACTAGGAAATTCAACACCGGTAATAGGCTTCAAAAATTATTAATTAATACCAATAAATTCATGTCACTAAAATATCAAAAATGCAATAGGATATTTCCTAGAATCATATAACAATTTGACACATGCCAAATTTTTACATAAATAAAGCCAGTCTGATTAGAAACACGCTCCACTCTGCTTGATATTTCGAAATATTTAACAAATTGTTAGGAAATTACTTATGTCAAAATTAAAATTGCTAATATATTAATGTTAGTAGTAAAAAAATCTATATATACCTCGGCTGAGAAAGCTATTATTTACCTCGCACATTATATCCCTCGGCGCTACGCGCCTCAGGATATAAAAGTGCTCGGTAAATAATAGCTCACTTCTCACCCTAGGTATATAATGTACTATTTAAATGTTTTAGATCCTTTTTTTATTATTCTGTAATTGATTTTTTGTCATTTTTGTCATTTTCGTGTCCGGTATTTGATGCTGTGGTATCCGTTTATTAATTTCGAGAGTCAGGGTGTTGTTACCCCCTTTTTTACGTTATCGGGCCCTCATAAAGGCCTGGAAATTTAAAAAATTTACTTGGTTTTTTTTTTGTGATTTTACTTTGCTATGCAACTACCATGCGGTTCGAGATTTATCAAGTGACAAGGTTGAAAATTATTTAATTTGACATGTGTCATTTGTCGTTTCTTCTTCTTTTTTTTTTTGGTCTTTTATAGTCTGGTCTATTAGAGTCATGTTTGGTACAAGATTTTTATTATAAGGTTTTTTTTTCCCCTTCTTTTTTTTAATATTATTATAATTATTATTATTATTATTATTATTATTATTATTATTATTATTAATATTATTATTATTATTATTATTATTATTATTATTATTATTATTATTATTATTATTATTATTATTATTATTATTATTATTATTATTATTATTATTATTATTATTATTAATATTATTATTATTATAATTATTATTATTATTATTATTATTATTATTATTATTATTATTAATATTATTATTATTATTATTATTATTATTATTATTATTATTATTATTATTATTATTATTATAATAATTATTATTTATTATTATTATTATTATTATTATTATTATTATTATTATTATTATTATTATTATTATTATTATTATTATTATTATTATTATTATTATTATTATTATTATTATTATTATTATTATTATTATTATTATTATTATTATTATTATTATTATTATTATTATTATTATTATTATTATTATTATTATTATTATTATTATTATTATTATTATTATTATTATTATTATTATTATTATTATTATTATTATTATTATTAATATTATTATTATCATTATTATTATTATTATTATTATTATTATTATTATTATCATTATTATTATTATTATTATTATTATTATTATTATTATTATTATTAATATTATTATTATTATTATTATTATTATTATTATTATTATTATTATTATTATTATTATTATTATTATTATTATTATTATTATTATTATTATTATTATTATTATTATTATTATTATTATTATTATTATTATTATTATTATTATTATTATTATTATTATTATTATTATTATTATTATTATTATTATTATTATTATTATTATTATTATTATTATTATTATTATTATTATTATTATTATTATTATTATTATTATTATTATTATTATTATTATTATTATTATTATTATTATTATTATTATTATTATTATTATTATTATTATTATTATTATTATTATTATTATTATTATTATTATTATTATTATTATTATTATTATTAATTATTATTATGTTTTGGTATCATTATCTCTAGGATAGGTGGGACAAATGCAAGATCGGCCATGGCAAGATTCTTGCATTTTAATTATATAGAAACGTTTAGGAATGTGCGTACAATCACTGCCTTTTGGATAATCGCTATTTTATTGGCAATTTCCAGCATCCTCAGATTGTTAGTGAGTGACTTTGGTACTACACCGGTCGAAGATATAATCAACGGGACTACAGACACACTCTCCTGGCGCCACATTTGTTGAATTTCCTGCCCAAGTCTCTGGTACTTTGCTTCCTTCTCAGCGTAGTAAGTCAAGATGTTGTGACCATTTGGGATTCCTATGTCAATTAACAAAACTCGTTTTCTTGATTTATCAACGATGATGATGTCTGGCCTATTGTGGACTATAGTACGGTCTGTTAGTACCGACCTATCCCAGTACAACTTATGCGTAGAGTTTTCCAAGACAGGACTAGGCTCGTACTTGTAATATGGTATCTCTTCGCTCAGGAGGCCATGTAAGCAAGCCAAACTTTGATGGACAATCTTAGCTACCTGATTGTGTCTCGAGAGATATTCCCTTGGTACTAGTAATGGGCAAGCGCTGTTGGATGGTCTCGGATTGTTGATGACATTTTCTGCACAAGTCATTTTCCACTTGAGCCCTTATTATGTACTTAAGGTAGTTTTTGGTGGCAATAACTTGGTCTTGGATCGCTATCATAAATCCCTCTGTCTCTGCAAATATGTCGGCTCGTCCTAACCATCCATTCGAGGCCTTAGAGTCGACATACGGTTGGCTGAGGAGGCTTGCATGACGACCATGTAGAGGTTTGGAAGTCCAGTCCTGTTACTTCCCTTGTATATAAGTCTCATCCGAGACTAATTCTCTAGTATCATGAGATAGGCCCAAGGGTGTGTATCTGTTGTCTGCTTTTATTACGGCTTGGTAGAGGGCGCCGTCCTGTTTCTTGAAATATTTTTGCAATCCCTGGGTCTGTTTTTGACACATCCTGCCGATATCGATCATCGCGCGTCCTCCATCTTGGCGGGGAAAAGTTAATCGTTCCAGTGCTGACTTAGGGTGAAGTATTCGATTTTTTGTTAGAAGCTTACGTGTGGCTCTCTCAGTGTCCCTGATTTCCGTTTCTGTCCACTTCACCACTCCAAACGTGTAAGTCAGAACTGGAATGGCAAACGTATTTATGGCCTTAAATACATTTTTACCATTCAAGGAGGTCCTGAGGATATCGCCTATTCTTTTCAGATATTGCTCCGTTACTCGGTGTCGAATCTCCTTGTGTTTTACACGTTCTGTTTGTTGAAGGCCTAGATATTTATATGTGTCATCTTGATCCATCGCGGCAATAGAGCCTTCATTAATTAGGTCAAATCCATGAAGAATCACCTGACCCTTATCGATACTTAGTCTTCTACATTTGTCCAGCCCAAAAGACATCCGAATGTCGTTGGAGAAACTCTCTGTTAGTTGTAGCAAATTAGTTATATGGGTCTCAGTGGAACCGTACAGCTTAATATCGTCCATATATAGTAGGTGGCTAAGTCTATACTGTATTGCATTTTCTCCATTAATAAGAAAACCATACCTAGTACTATTGAGAAGAGTGGACAGTGGGTTTAGTGCTAAACAAAACCACAATGGACTAAGACTATCTCCTTGGAAAATTCCTCTTTTGATTGGGATAAGCTGAGACTGTATAGTACCCTCGTTGTGAAAAAGATACAGAGTGGTCTCCCATGATGACATCATATGTTTTAGTGTTTTAACTATGATTGGTGCTACTTTGTATATTTCTAAGACTCTAATAAGCCAAGAGTGAGGCACACTGTCAAAGGCCTTTTGATAGTCAATGAAGGCTGTAAATATGTTTCTCTGTTTATGGTAGGCTTGCTCCATTACCACTGCATCAATGATGAGTTGTTCTTTACATCCCTGGGAGTTTTTGATGCATCCTTTTTGCTCTATGGCCAACACAGAGTTCTGATTTAGATGCTGGTATATTCTATCAGCTATACACGCAGTCATTAATTTATACAGAGTGCAAAGGCAAGTGATAGGGCGGTATTTAGAGGGGTCTTGTGTGTTGTTTTCATCTTTGGGAAGTAGAAACGTCTTACCCCTAGTAAAATACCAGGGGATTTGTTGTGGGGACAAAAAACAGAAACCAACAATATACTAGACACATTCAATGCTTACCACCCAAAATTACAATTTACTATCTAGACTGAAAACAACAACTCTCTAAACTTTCTAGATTTAACTATACACAACAAAAGAAATACATTAAAAACTGAATGGTATACAAAAGCTACCTGGTCAGGACGATACTTAAACTTTACATCAAAACACCACATATCCCAAAAAAATCAGTTATTATAGGTCTAGCAGACAGAGCTATCAAATTATCAAACCCTGAATATAGAAACATAGCAATTCAAAAAGTCAAAGATACACTAATCCAAAATAACTATCCTATAAAACTCATCAAC